GTCCTCTGAAGATGCCGGCCACAGAGACCGGCGAAACGTTAGGAAGAACCTTCAGAACACGGCCAAAGAGCCCGAAAAACCCACAACAACCATTAGATCCCGGCCATGAAAGCCTTCGTGAATACAAATAAACCCCAACATGATTTATTGCAACTTCTTGATCAGCTCAACAGGCAAGACGTTATACAAGTAACTTCATTAGACAAGCAGTGGCTTATGGTCAAGCAAAGGAATTTAGCCATGCCCTACCTTTTTCAAATGAAGCAGCTCTCTTGCTTGGATCACAGGATGCTCTACTAGTCAATTAAAGACTTCAGTCTGCACCACAGTGGTCATAGTTCAAAGATTATTTTTTTTCTGGTTCACATGGTGAAATTTCCATTTTAGATAAGCCACTGGAAATTTCTAGGTATTTGGTCATTTCTATAACTGTCATTAAGTATAAGCAAGCACCACTAAAATTAATGGTATGGGCAATACGTAATCCAAATGGGTTTGCTCTGTGTATGCAAAACAGCTGGCAGAGTCTTGAAGTGCTTGTGTTTCTGGGTAAAGTGCTGAGAAGCATAACTCAGCATATGGAGAGGAAGAGTGTATCATTTTAGTTCATATCCTGAGAAAGTTATAAGGCCAACTCTTCTTGTTGCTGTATCAACATTTCACAAGTTTACACTCATAGTTGTTCCTCTGCCAAAGCTACATCTCCCTCCTGTCCCCATTGGCATGCTTTCTACCTAAGATGAGCTGTGGCCTTGCCTGACACTGCTTTCATTCTTTTCATCATGTCTTTTGGCTGTAATAAATCTCAACATGGAACTGAAGCAATAGGGTTCTTTTCAAAATACACAATCTAGCTATAAAAATTTAGGACTCTTCTGGACATTGAAGAAGCATGGAACAGAACACACATTTTCCTATTGTTTTTTTACAAAGTCTATATTTCACTAATATGTCCAGAGTTTCCCACACCTTTTTTCAGTCTTCATGACCTGAAACTTCCCAACTGCCCTCCAAAATAATCCCTGTGATCATGTTAATAGACATAAGAATTTCTTCTATGTAATTATTTAATCTTCAAGTTTTCATCTAGTTGCAAGTTTTGTTTTTCTTGCAGACTTTGCATTTGAACTGAACTATGCAAATCTGCAGTGATTTTTTTTCTCAATGCATGCAGGTTTGCTTTCATTTATATGACACCTTAAATTCGTCTGGTTCTCTGGGTAGCTTCTTCATAGCTCTTTGTGTAGGACTGTAAGTCACATTTTGCTATCTACAGCAAAACACTCCAAGTTATAGATTTGTGAAGTAATTGGAATTCCTTGGATGACTGACTACTATAAGAACAAAAAGCAAAATAACTATGTTTCCCAGCAAATGGTTATGTGAATTTCTTCAGCACGTTTAAAGCTGCACAATATTGTAATTCAACAGTAAAATCACAGGGTTCTTAGTTCCATGACTATAATTACTCATATCCACCCTAAGCCTTTAAGGAAATAGGAGTTAAGTTTAAATAAATAAATTTTAACTGTAAGAATACAGTCTAAGAGAAATCTTTTCCAAGAATAAAATCCTGCTTAGCTGGGTTAATCGTGTACCAATTGCCTTAGGACACTTGAACAACCTTGAAACAGACATTGCATTTGTAATCTCATTAACATGAGATTTAAACAGTAACAAAATCATAGTATAGATTTAAACAGTAACAAAATCACAGTATCAGAAATTATTACTATTCATGGGATATATTTAAAAAGTAGGTAGCCAATTTCAGCAAGTAGGTAAAAAAATAGGTAGAAATTCTGAAACCCATGGAAGTAAATAACTTAGGATGCATCTAATATTATGCAGGATTAGCATGTAAGCATGCACGATGCACAAGAGTGGGGAGAAAGACAACTTTGCAAAATACAGAATATGCTCTCAACAGCTTGAGGTGAGGCTTCAATAAGAAACCTAAAATTTCCCAGCTTCTCTAGAGGGCTGCTTGAAACAGAGGCTTTGGTCCCATCAAAGAACTGAAGTCTTGCCTACTCCCCTTAATTATTTCAGCATGCTAATTCCTGATAAAATAGCAGCTATAACCAAAGTCCTAGAAACTAGATTATACCACTGCCACAACAAACTTAACTAGCACAGAATTATCTCAAGGTATGTTTGTGCAGTCACAAATCTAATCAGCTCAGATATAGCAGATAGTTATGAGAGGCATATAAAACCTGTTATGTTACAGGGGCAACAGGTTTTGCCAGGTATGATGTTAAGACCTGTTGTACCCTTTGGCAAAAAGCTGTTTACATGCCAACACAAGTGGGAAGAAAAGCAAAAATAATGATCGCACTACTTTAAGTAAAGCAGGATAATTTCAAATCACTGCGGGTAAAAGCGGTGCAATGTTCAGACTGAGCTGTATTTAATGTTTTCCTGTGAATACTGT